TTTAAATAACACATGTCTTCTAAACATAAGACACTGTACAGAGAAATACTGAAATCACTTCATGCATCTGATGACTTTGAATATTTTGTCTGACATGTCTTTGAAACACCATTCCCCAAATAATGATTACCAGGCTATTTCTCATTTATTGTTTTATACCACAGTGGATTTGAGATAATTCAAATTGATTAATGTAGAACCACATACTTTTGTCTGATATTAAATAACAGATATTGCTTGGATTTGAGTTATAACACTGAATTATAGTGACGCTTCTAGAAAAATATGGTGGGTTCATATGTTGTTCAGCATCAAATAAATCAACATGTGAGTATTTAAATAGCTGTTAACTTGAGGGTTGATTTATCAGTAATAGTATAGACAATGAATGCTTTAATATTTGCAAAGCACACAAAGCAAGGCTGAGTCTAAGCTACTCTGGTTTTGCTCATGGACAGGTGAGCCTAAACTTGCAATAGCTAGTTCAGTTTTGATAGTGATTTTGATTATGCTTAAAAGATAGGAATACACGTTTCATTTTCTGACTGGTGCAAGTGTTCTTGACCTTGTTCTTTGGAGCAAGAATTGTTACTTTATGTGAAATGATAGTGATGATGGAACAGCTATGCTTTAAATTATACTGAAATTTGCCTACTAATAGTTTCACCCACTCATTAACTTGAAAAATACCTTCAAAAAACCCCAAAAAACAAAACCTAAAAAGCCCACGAAAACTTTATTGTATTGGTTTGTTATTAAATTTTCAATAAGAATATGTTTTTATTTTAAGTAGTATTTATTGTGACAGCACATTGCATTAGTTTTCTTAAATGTGTGTGTGTGTGTGTGTCTGTATAAATACATACACACAGACACACACACAGATATAGATATATATATATACATGTAATGGTTTCAACCTAGCTGGCAGCTAAGTATTCACTCCCACTATCATCCAGTGCAGCAGAATGGAAAGGAAAAGTAAACTTCATGAGTTCCAGCACAATGCACCCAATGTATGATTTATTTTTTCTTTATTTTGATGGCACAAAAATATATGCAAATGACTAGATATTGAGGTTTTTGCCTTCATTAGTATCTCAGTTGGAATAAGGAGTATATTTTCAAGCATATCTCACCACTCTTCCCAGTTAAGACATTCTACGTCTTAGGTTATTTTCAAAGTTCATGGTCTTAAAAAAGAAAATACATTGCTGCAGGAGTGCCTTTAATGCACTGCAGCTGACAGCAGAGGCTTTTGATAGCTAATGCAGACACAAGGTTCACAGTAAGGTATCAGAATTCCAGTTCCACCTTACACAATTTAGTTTGGCTGTTTCTTTTTTTGGGTACTGTCATGCTTTTTATGTTTATAAAATAATTCCATCTGTATTTGACTAAATGAGCTGCAGTATGCTTGTGATGTCAACTGGAGTAGTACAATGTGTTCTAAGGGAAAAACACAGGGATCTAGAATACAAAAAAATAGAACAATATACTCCTCTTTTGTCTGTCTTATTAATTAGAGAACAGCTAATAATAAGCACTGTTGTGTCAAATAAGAAATATTGTTTAAAGTGACTATTTTTATTTCTGGTTTTGACTTCAGCTGCCTGCAATAAAGTCCCTGTAGGTGCACATAAAAGTAAGTGTTCTATCCTGTTTCAGAAATTTTGGCAATAGAATCCCTACTTATTTGCTAGAGAGGAAAGAAAGAAAAACTGGGAAAGTAAGACAGAGGGCAAATTATTTCTGTGACCTTTTCTAGGACTCATAAATAATTGGATTATTTGCCATATAGACAACAAGTATTTTCCTGTTTTAAGTATTTTTGAGGAAGAGCAGCACTAGCAGCAACCAGAATTCTTGTGTTCAGACTGAATAACTGTAGTGAGGTAGTTATTAGTCAACACAGGATCTAAATTGAGCCTGACAAGAATTCAGTACTCCTACTAACCCACAGTGTGTTTATCTTAATATTGTTATTTTCCTTTGCATGCTATGGAAAAAGATCCATACTCTTCTCACAATGATTTATCCAGTACAAGAGAATTTATACTTGTTTCACATGAAATAGTTTTGGCAGCAGGGGCACAAAATGCATCATAAAGTGACAAATACCAGTACCTGCAATGTCTGAAATATGTTATGTCTTAAGCTTGCTAGCCTTGTTTTGCCATTCCTGAAATTGATCTTGAGGACTGTGGTCAAAGTACTTTCTGGCAAACATCTCTTCCTGCTTGAGGTGACCTTTCTATAGAAAAGTGAGGTTGTTTATTACATGATTTAAAGGATTCTAATTGGTGAATTTAAGAGCACACACTGGCTTTTTCATATAGTTTAAATATCTACAGATAGATTTTTTTTTGGAGGGACCAAGCTGTATTTGTTTATTATCTGTCTGCAGTTGTTTCATAATAACACAATATTGAACTTGGTGTTCACAGTAAAGAAGAACTTTCAGTTTTAAGCATGATGGATGTGGTGAGTAAGCAAGCAGGATGGGAAGGGTATGCTCTAAGGGAAAGGTCAGCAGCTTTCAAGCTTATTATACTACACCAGACATGGTTTAAGCAGACATGATAGTATAATTACACAAAGGGTCAAAAATATGTGAAATGGTGTCATGATCCAGTACTTCTGTGTTTTAAATTGTGTATGGTTAATTAATGCCCAGCTCCTCATTTTCATTACTTCTGAATTTTTAATGACTTTGGCTTGCTGATCTGCTGTTCTTCCTTTCTAATTTGATCAGACATGAAACAGAAATGTGTAGTCTAATCCAGTGCACTAAATATCAAAATTCATGGGGGCATATGTTGTTGATCAATGAATGACCATTACAGAACAAGAAAACCAACAAAAAAAATCCCATCCTCCTCTATTGTAGAAAAAACCCAACAAACACCAACTTATTTTACTGCATGGAAATAGAAAACAACTTATTAAAAATTGTTTAACATCCAGTGGTCATTTTTGTTCATATATTGTAAAGTTCTTCTCTTTTCCTCACTCTGTTTCTTCATAGAAGGTCTGATTTGTTACAGAAAGAAATATTACCCAAAAAAAAGGAAAAGGAAAGAAACTGTAGTCTTGGTCTAAAATTTTTAGGATGTTAATTCACAGTGGTATAAAGTATATTCATTGTACCACTGAATCTGAGATATTTTACAGAAGTGTTGTAAAATGTGTAGCACTCTGCATCTACTGGAAAAATATGTTGCCTCAGGTTTCCAGTCTACTGAGATTCTGCTGTTTTGGTATTCTCTTCTTGTCAGTCTGGACTCCCACTGTTGCTCATTGAATAATCAGGTACATTTTTATTAGTGTATCTGCAAATTCCAAGGTTACAGAATTCCCAATTGGATGCAAAACACTCTGCTTAGTGTCAGAAAGACATCTGAAAAAGCTGTATAAGAGTTGCAGCCTGTGATTAGTCATACTGGTATAGAACAATCTTGGTTCCAAATTGCTCATTCTCTTTCTTATAGCTCAGAATATTGTATTTTAATTTGAGAAATCTGGCATTAGCAAGAAGCAATGATATTGGAAACAAGAAATCACTTATTTGTTAAACCAAACCACTATCATATGTAGTGAGCAAGTTGCTTTTGCCCCTTTTTGAAGCTACTCTATTAACTTTCAAATGACACATTATATGAATTCCATAAAAGGTATCAGTGTTTTTCTGCTAAGGCTCAGCTGGGCTTGTGAAATCCACCTAGGAGCATGTTAAACAAGGCCTCCACAGAAAGTTATTAAGGGCTGTGTAAAGCTCTGCTGTCCTCAAAGAGATGTCCTTCAAGCACTGGAAAATACTGCAGTCTTCTGGGGAAAAAAAAGAAAGAAAAAGAAGAAAGAGGATAAGGATGCCTACTGCTTTTCACTTTTCCTCAATTAGTCATGGAATTATGTAAAGACGGGAAGAGTCAATTTTGAAAGTACACAGGGCCTTAATTTTGCTTAGATTCTGCCTACAGAACAACAAAAAATATCTCTACAGTAGTTTTTTCTTTTCGTCTCTGTGTTGTTGCTACACAGCAAAGCATACAGAAGGAGAGGTCATAAGAGGTCAAAAAGACTTCTTCTGTGCCCTTTTTAAGGTAGTCTAATAGTCTATTAAAAATATCTTTCTGGAGATATCTCATGTGTTCTTGCTTTTGAATTGATTTTTCTGAGATGAAAAAGTTTCTCAGTTTTACTACTACAAGGGTTATGCATTCCTTTCCCTCCCCTAGTTCTTGGTTGATGACCTGTCTTTTTTTGATTCTTTCCGTTGTACATCACAAAGCTGAGAACAATGTATCTATAAGTTGAACACTAGTATTACTTTGTTCCTTGCTCATGCTTTGTGCTTTTCAGAAAACTGGATAGCATGACCAAGTGTTATACTTAATACACATAAGACTCTGAACTCAAAAAGAAGAAAAGCAAAAAAAAAAAGGTCTACCACTTGAAAAATTATTTACAGCTAACTCTCAGCCTAATTCCTTAGTGATAGCTGGAAGGTTTTTGAGCCTATTTTTAAAAGTGATATGTTTTCCTTCTCTGTACTTTTCTCTGGTATCTTCTTCATATAGAGAGATATACTAAAACATCAGTAAACTATGCATTAGAAAACATAGTTGCATCAGCTCATATAAATTAACAAAAGTAATGAAAATTTCTTTTATAGAGGTAGACGCAATCCTACTTATGACAGAACCATTTCTGAAACAGAGGAGCAGTGACACCAGTAGCATAGACTGAAGATGTTATGTAGCTCCCATCCCTTTAGGAATGGTGCATAAAACACTGCAAGTCTAATTAGATCTCCAGAGAGTAGAAATGCCCATTTGACAGTCAATTTAAAGACAGCAGTGCCAGAGCACTTTTATTTCCATAGACTTAGAATCTGAGCTATCTTTGCATGAGGTGTGTGAATGTAGAATATGATATTTACTGGAAATCAGTACTGATGTGCTTCACAGTGTAATAATTTTTGTCATTTGTTTTAGCAGATGAAAGAGAAGAAAACAACATGAAAGTCTGGAAAGGAAGCATATTGCTACCCACTACCAAAAGTAATTTGTTAGTGACCTTACTTGCGCAAACTGGTAATTATAATATAGCTCATACATATTCTCAATACTAATGTTCAGAACCATTTTTACTCAGTGATATATACATGCATACATACATTTATAAAATAGTCTAACACTGAACTAATTTGAAAAGTTTGTTTTTCTTTTTACAGTAAAGATTTCACATTTTGAGTAGAGCCTTCTGCACTGCTTTGTCCTAACCCGACTTCTCCTTTCATATGGGAAACTCTATTACTTGTTTTGGAAGAAATGGAGGAAAAATAGATCCCTCTCTGTGTAGCTGATTGTTTTAACAAAATCTGTCTTGGCCTTCCTATCTACATGTGATGTAGATATAATATCATACCAATGCTGTTTTAATGTTTCCTGAGCACGATTCCTGACTACCTGTCTGCAGGTAATCCATGTCAAAGAGCATTTGATTTTGACAGACTTTTGCAAAACATTTATCTGCTTAAAATGAAATTCTATAGGCAAGAAGAATTAGCTTTGAAATTTTTGTCAGATATGGTATATTATCGAGTCAACAAAACCAGAAAACTCAAAAATAATGAATAGCCTAATTTCTGCTACTTCAAAAGTACATATATTTGAAGGTTAAACATAGGGTAAACTCTGACTCAGAGATGGAAGGTTCTGTTTTTCAGATATTTCATAGGCCACTGATTAAGCTTAGAGAAGATGGTATGTCTACTTGTCTTCCATGTGGAAGGACAGCTCTGTGTAAGTGATAATAAAAAAGCAGCTTTGCTTTGATGCCAGGTTCCTCTGGCCTTGACATGATGCTGTTGCAGAACTGCCTGTCTGTGGATCTTGATTTCAGAGCTCTCTTTTAGTTGGAAAAGACATCCCTAACTACTGAACAGATTTAAATATGAATAGGAGAAAAACCTCTTCCTTCCTCCGCTTGAACTTTGTAAATTATGATCATGATCTATTGTAAGTGTATGCCTTTCCTTTTCCTCTAGCTAAAGAAATTATTAAAGATTGAAGACAAAATTGCAACTTAAATTTTAATCTAAAATGTTTTCTAAAACTGAAATTTTAAAATTTTTGTGTTTAACTGAAATTTTTCAGCTGGACTGTGTAGATTTCAGGCCAGATTTGAAAAAAAAAAGTGACCCCAATGCAGAGAAAAATAGTTTTAAAAATAGTTTTTAAAATATTATCTTAACTGATTATAAAGAGAATAAAAAATAATTTCAATGTCATTAAGGTATGGTAAATCAATAAACAGAGGTAATTGCTATAAATTCTTTGATAAATTATTAAAAAAAATAAAATACAGGATTGCCTAACATTGCTAAAAAATGGTAACTTTTTAATTACCTCATTAGGGAATCTAACAGGTGGGAGTATTTACTTGAGACTAAGCCTACAACCAGAACTGTAGTTCCTCTTTTGTTCCACTTGCATTAATAGAAGTGTATTCTATCTTAAGATAAACAGATATATCTTATTTGTTATTTGTATCAGACTGATTTGATCAAGTGTTGATTCATTCTTTGCTTCCATTACATTCCTGATATTTTATTTCCTGCTTCGTGACTTAGCCTAAATTGTTTCAAGGGATGACCTGTATTTTTGTAACTTTTTAATAAAAATCCTTATAAAATACATTTTATAGAGTTTATTACTGAAAAGCTGAGAGGTTGATTGGCACGTGTTTCTGTTACTGAAGGACAGCTCCTGCAAGTCCCAGCAGATCATTGGGCCTGAAAAAGACGAATGGACTTCAAAAGGTCTGAACAAAATTTGCTAGCAATATTTTGAAGTATCTTCGTTCATCAATACATTTAATTCTAATAACCTAAAATGGTCTTATATAAGCCTAAATTCATTTATGCCCTTGGTCCTTCTACAAACAGTGTTGAAGAACAACAAAACAACCTGCAGAGAACCCTGCAACAGTAAAAAAAAAATAAAATCTATTGAACCAGCGTTGGCTGTAATAGCAATCACACAATTTTCAGTATAATCTTATATTTTCCTCTGATTTGTTTTAACAAGCATGCTGAGAATTCAGTGTAGTACATTAGCTTTATTTCTTCCAGGACACGACCAGCATGTGTATTATGTCATATACCCCATATTTGTCCTTTTGCTTCTCAGGACTTGCAATCGACTTTGCAATCGTATCTACCTGAAATTAAGTTCTAGCTTGTTCTCACGTCTTGATTTCTAAAAGAGACAGCATAAAGGCTATTAAGGAGGGGAGAAGAAGGCAGGGAAAGGGAGCAAAGATCAGACTTCACTTGGGCAGTGAGTGGTTTTGTGGTGAAGATTTAACAAAGTACTGCAACTGTGTAACAGTTCCTGGAGAGCTGTTCAAAAAGTTGATATAAGACTAGGAAAAATCCCAACTAAAACAAAACCCCTAAATCAGGCTTTTTAGTGTTATATAAGCACAAGTTTGCATTTATAAGTGAACTGTCAATAGAGATAGTTTTTGTAAAATGTATCAGAAGGGTAAGAAAAATTTATTTATTCAACAATTGGCACTTCACCTCCATTGGCTAAGTTAAGCAAAGTAGCTCATACAGCAATAGTTGATTATTTTTCTGTGATCCATCTTCTTTTCAAAGCTAGAAATACATGATCAAATAAGATTGTCTTTGAAAATAAGATAAGGTTCCTTTGTTTTTTTAATCACAAAAGACCAAAAGCTATTCTGAAATTTTATAGAACATTAATATCTTATAATAGTAGGAAAGTTCTCAAAAAGAAGCTATTACAGTACCAGGAAAATCAAAACTCTACCAGCCTCCAAAGTGCTTGACATTTTAATGAAAACACATTATGTTTTTAAAAAATAAATACTGTTTAGGCAATCATTTCAAACATAAGTTTTTTTGGAATCTCCAATTATTTGGCCAGAATCTGGTAAAAACTAGAAGCTGACCAATGAAATTACTTACTTAGCTTAGAGTAATGCAAGTGCAGTTTATGAATCAATGCCAATTTTCAGTAGCAGGACAGTAATTAGTGAACATGATATTGTTAATTATTCTCTGAACATTCTATTAATTCAGAATTAAATTAAAAGAAAGGCATCCCATGTTTCATAATTATTTTCCATTTGATCATACAATAAAAACTGAAACCAGATTTTCTCATTTTCTTTCTCTGAGATGTACCAGTCTGGAATTTTGCTCTCACTACCATCTAAAGGCTACATACCCTTAAAACAAAATATTACTAAAATCAAACTGATGAATATGAAACAATTCCCACATTCTTTTCTGGTTGCTATTTTAGCAGTGCTATAAGTAATGTCATTTCCACTAATCCAGCTAACGTCTCTGTGAGTAAAATCAGTATCAAAAGGAAACAGTTGACCTGCTGAGTTGATGCCGCTGCAGCTTCTTTTGTTTGCAAATAAAAACAAAGTCAACCAGCTTTCATTGTGGCAATAGTCATTTCTTTCCATTTACATCTAAGAGAAAGTGCTTTTCAAAAGATCCAGTTTTACCAAAAATGTTTTGTTTTCACTTTATGCATTTGATTACTAACATTTCAGCCTATTATTGAATAGTTTATAAACATTTTGGTCATTTGCATTTTTTTATGTGATAATTTATAAGACTTTTAAATGAAAAATTAACTTACTGGAAATTTAGCTTCATTGGAATGTTTGTTTAACCAGAAGAACAAAAAATATTGGGAATTTATTGCTTATCCAGAGAACAAATCCACAGGGCTTTTTTGTCACCTGAAGTGGTTTGAAAGAACTACAGAAAGGATGGTGCAAAAAAATATAAAGGAGATCAAGGAAGGAACAAGAACAGAGTGCTTCTGAAATTCATTCATCCTTAGTAGGAAATTAAATCTACTCAAATCACCTTTTAAGTCAGCATTCAAGTGGCAAATTAAAGATGAAATGCAAGCCAGATAATGTAAGGAACACAGGCCCTGTAAGAGAATAGAAATCAGTTTTCTTCTGAAAATGAGATAACAAAAAGAAAATATGCAGGAGAAATTAAGGATTTTTCCCCCTTTTTTAGTGACCCAAAAGAAGAAAGGAAGGAAGAAAGAATTTAACCATTCAAATAAGTATCTGTTAAACTCAGAAAGAACGAATAGGGAAAACTTTACTTTTGATTTAGGCTTTCAAGTAGTCATTCTTACAGTCCAAGAAATGCAATCAGAAGGATTAGAACTTCTCCACCAATTATCTTATGTCATTGTAAGCATGTAGAAATAAGATGACTTGTACAGTACTGTTAATAAGTACAAGATGATTTGATAACTCATATCAATAATAGCAAACACTAAATTTCTGTTTATTTACCTCAATGTACAGCAGCACTACAAATTAAGAGAACCTCAGAAATTTCTTGTAGGTCTTCAAAGAAAGCTCTTGGGGAGTGGGCAATAAAGATGCACCACAAAGGAACACAGAGCTCCATCAAAATGAGAATCCTCACAATGGGGATCTTCACATAGTGAAATGGGATTTTTTGCAATTGGTAAAAAAAAAAAATTGATAGGGAGGTTGCACTGTCATGTAGTTTCTTTCAAACTCAGTAAGAGATTTGTTAAATTATGAAGGAAATGTTTCATAATCACTCTGCAAATGGTCTTGTTATTTGATGATTTGAATCAATATAAGACAAAAAGATGGTATACCCTTGCTAGGTCACCACTACTCACAAAAAATATATTTTGTCTTTCATGAGGTATTACACACCTGATTGTGTGTAGTAATATTTTGCATCAGAGCTACAAACTTTAAGATCATATCAGAATTTGTATAGACACAATAATATTTCAACTAAATTGTGTCCATTGTGTGTTCTTATCATAATCTGAAAAGATTTAACACAGGCTAAAAAGATAATGTGATTCTTTTATTAATTGTTATTATTATTTGTGTTATTTGAACACATTTATTTTATTTCATGGTATTTACCAAGTTATTCCTTGAATTTATATATAACTATGTATTTATTAGAATGCAGTTTTATGTAGATATAGATTTTATGTGTTCTATTCCAAACCAAGGAAACAAAAAATTCTTGTCTGTTGCTGGAGACAATTTCATCCTCTCTAAAACTGTGATGATACGCCACAAACCATGGGCTACAAACTTTTCTGTTGGGGATGGCATCATTCAGTGTTCACTTATTTCAATGGAACTAAATAATTTGAAATTGATTTCAGCAATGTTTATTTAGATGGGAAGAGAAAAATAAGAGAAAAATAATTTGAAAATAATTTCACAAGAATTAATAATTTGAAGGCATTACTATTCTTGTTCTGTAGAGACTAACATGGCAACTGGTTAGTTAGAGCCTTAGTACATGACATGATAGTTTAATACCTTTATTTTAAACTATCATTCTGTCTGTATTTTATGTAGCATGGTCTTTATCAGCAGAGAATACTTTGTTTATATATATTAATGTACTGTCAGGATTATGTTACAGTTATGTTGACGATAATTAAATTAAATCTAGGTGTCCTTTGCAAGAATAAAATTATTTAATTCCTACAGCAAATTCCTACAGACACTCTCTACTCTTTTTCAAACACAATTAATGCAGTTACTATTTACAAATAATTTGTACTTAACAGAACTTTGACTGAAGTATGATTTTCGATAATTAATAAAATGTCACCCTGGCTTAGTGGTGTTAGCATGCAACTGAAAATGTTTTTCTGTAGCTAGTCATTCAGATCTCCAAAATGGAGTCAGTCCTGGACAACTTTCTCACTCCTGATGTCCTGATATCAGATCCCAGGAAAAAAGGGATATTTATGAAAATCTCTAGGAAAACAGTTCCAGGTTTCAGGTAAACTGGTACATGAGTTCACCACATACAGTAATATATCTTGATACAACCTTGAACAGATTTTTTTCACACTTTACACCATTCTTGGATATTTTTGCAGAAGTGCCAAAAGTAGCAATTAATACCATATAAGTCCATTGATATTCTGCAGAGAAAAACATTTTTTAGAGATTACTAACTGAAGTGATCCAAGAAATATTGCAAAGGAAATAGCTCACAGTTAGTTACAACACAAGTCCACTCATTGGTAATAGAATATGCCAGGAACTAATGAATCCTTAGACTTTGAGAAAAATGTAGTCACAATTGCCATGTTACCTGTTTGAACTCCAGAAGTGAAGCATTAATTCGGGAATAAATATTGGGTGGGGAAAGTGGGGGGAAAAATATACTAGCTCTCAGCAACATTTGTGCAGTGATACATATGACAACCTTTGTTCATGTTCCATTATCATTGCTAAAACAAAGATCACACACTGTCAGGAATTCTTCATACAAGGTAAGCTTACAGCAGAGGGTTGTGCCATCATTTATTTGCCATCTGGACTTGTGAATCTTGTAGTTGCAGCTACCCAGTGGTTAAAATTGTCCAATTTAGCCCAGTGTTTAAGATACTTTTTTAGGAAGAGCTGATCTGTCTAGATGAAACTGACATGCCCATCAGTTCTCAAGACCAGTAAGTCATTGTGAAATAATGTGGGTGGGTTTGGGGAGAGTCCTTACACTTAAAGGAACAGATATTCTGACACCGGAACAGATAGGTGCCTAATAGGAAATTCAGGATCAAGAATCCAGCCACACTGCACTTCTTTTAACATGGGTTTAGCAGCTTTCTACCAGCTTTTCAAACATAGGATCACTTCATGGATGTATTGGCTGTAGATGAAATGGAGATGTGCAGGTGTGTACCACTTTGAGTCCTTCCAAATTCTTGTTCAGGCAACGTGCTTTGTCCAGATTTTCACTGGGTACATTAGAACAGGGAAGCCACAAAGACAAAATCATGCTGGTCCTCTCTGACATAAAATATAGAGGCTATTTTTCAAGCATGAGTGGTGCAGAAGGTAGATAGAGATAACTGTTCTGTCACACACAGAGAGGCAATAGTTTTAAAGACAGCGACAGAAACCAAGGACCCCACTCCTCTAAGATCTTTTAAAACCAGCACCACAGAGTTGGGCAAACAGAGCGTTCAATCAGTGAACACATTTGAGACCTTGAAAGTGTATGGTTTCTTTGTGTAGGAACTCCAGACTTGCACAGCCTTTGCATGGCTGTTGGATCCATGTGGATGTTGTTGCACTGAGGGGTGACTGTTCTCCACCATTTATTGCTTTCTAACTCAGCTGTTGGCATAAGCCACCAGTGACCTTGCTGAGCATAAAGCCCCATGCTAATCTCTTTGACTTTGTCCATAGTTAAAGCTAATAGTTGGTTGTTCCCTCTGTTTTCAACCTTTGTTTTCCCATCCTGAGTATGTCACAAGGATGTAATATGTGTGTTAGTGGTTCATCTGTGGGATTTCTGTTTTTATTCCTCCCACACAAAGTTCAAAAAAATATAGCCAGCTAGATGTATGCTTTCAGGGAGTCCTCCCCCATAACACTTACCTCTGATTCCTTCCTCTTCCAGTGAACACCAGGGTTACCTATCTTATCAGATGGGAGCAAATAAAATCTGAGCCTTATTTTATCTGAACAATGCCTTCAGGTAGGTTTCATCCAATGATACTATTTCACCTAAGCCAGAAGAATCTGAGTAAAATATTTTGTTGGATGCTTTAGTGTTTTCTGACTTAATCTTTCCATTTTGCTACTTGCAATGATTTCCTTCAAAAGAAGCCCCCAATGCTAGAGGATTTTCCAAGCAAGTTGCAGGTGTTATCAATATGAAGGCAGGGAATTGAGGTGTTTTTTTGACCCCTATGTGTTTGACATGCTTATGAACTACATTTTTTCATTTTAAAGAATGAATGTATTAAGCAAGGTGCATTTGTAGACATCTAAGACATATTGTTGCTTTTAGAAAATTTAATCAATATGCAAATTTTGTCTAATCTAGTTGTGGCAAAAACCGAAAAGTTACAATAAACGATCATATTGCACTTTAAATGGTTGAAATTTATAAAATATTGTAATAAAAATAATTTGTGTTTAAGAAAACATGCTAAAAATAAGTATTGTGGTACTACGACTAATAGTAAAGTAGAAAATTATTGCTCTTGCAGTGTACTGAATGTACACTCTACAATTAAGAATTTGGATTTATGGGGAACAGGTTTGGTTTTGATTTACCATATCAACAGCCTGTTTCTTATGCTGTCAAACTTATGCAATTGCTTGGTCAGTGATAAGGAACTGGTGCACATGACTTTATTCAGCTCCTGCTCATGTTTTGGCTGAACACAGCCCATGTTAAAGATTGATGTATGCTGGGAGCAGCACCATCAGATCCATGAGACAGCAACATGTACAGGACATGATGGCTAGGAAGGCGTGAAGGTCATTATGTCACTGTCACCTGCAATCTTCTGTCTCCTGCAGCCACCGCTCCTGTATGCAGATTGTTGTGCAGTTAATTCAGAATCCATGAAGTTATGGTAATGGGGTAGACATACCTTCCAAGCTGGAAGACATGGATGTGTCAGCTTACAAAAAATAAGGTTTTGAGCTGGATCCAGTAAGAGTGAAGAGACTTTTGTGGTTCCCTGTGTCACACATGGGATGCCTGCACCCTTATGAGGAAGGAGGACAGGCACTCACCCTCAGCTAGGCTACAGTTTTGCCCATAGGCTTGCACATTAGTTACAAAGTGGAAGATTACAAACTGTGAGTTGGAGTCAGGAAACAAAGAAATTGTGAGATAGAAACCTTATGAATTAAGTGAATGCATGTTAGACTAACCTTTATGAAGGGGATTGAGCCCTTCTGCCTTGTGTTTGTTTTCTTTCCTGATGAGCTCATAAAGTAAAGTTCAATTGACAGAGTACATTGCCCTGCAAATTTGAGAGCTCCAAACAGGCTGTGACAGTGCAGGAAATGACAATATAGGAGAAAAGAAAAGTCATTTAAGTGCAGAATATAAATCCCTAGCTTGTTTCAACACTAATTTGAAATAAAAATGTATGCTGTCTTTTAGTTAGGATTAACTTCTTGTTCTGATGTCTGTCAAGAAATGGATTCTACTTTTATACATTAAAATAGTCATATTAGCAAAGACTTCTCATAACAAGGTGTACAGGATCTTTCTTTGATTTTTTTTCTGCTTTAACCCTTATTACAAAGTGGCAGAAAAATATGGATGTCACCTGGATATTCAAAAAACTTTAATTTTTTTATCTTTTAAAAGCTCTCTTGTTGTAAGATAACAAATACATTAATGATACAGTGTGTTTGTAGCACAATTTTTATTAAAATTTATTTAAGACACTCTCATCAACCCTATTGCACATATTATTACACCTAATATGTGCTCCATGGTTCTGAAATTCTCAATAGTGTTAGAAATCTCCTAAGAGGGAATCTTAAGCAATATTCCAAATTCACTTTTGGGAATGTTAGTCAATATACATGTTTATTTTGCAGCAATCTCAAATACTATGGCCATTTAAAGAACATTGTAGGTATGAACACATTACACTGGATAAGTTTGGACCCTTATGGTGGGTAGACACTAGCCCCAAGGGCAATACAGAATTGGATACACTGTTCATACCTAAATCTGATGCAGAATTTTCTCTTCAGGTTAGTTGTCTTTCTGCAGTGTTTCTTGCCAAAACCTAGAGGCATAATTTTAAAAAAAAAAAGTTTTCTCTAGATTTAGTAAAACCCTGATGAAGTTGAAGAAGAGACCATGCTCATATTTGGTTACCTTTAAGGAAACTTAAATTTTTCCTGGTCTGGGTTTCAGGCCCTCTTCTCCCTGTCCTGCTTCTGAGGGTGTCCTGCTGTCACCCTCAAGCCTGCCATGCTATAGGGTGTAGACTTTTTGGTGACATTGGCTGCCCCTGGTTATGGGACAACCTTTGTGTGTGACCTAGCTGTAACTTTTGAAATTTAATGAGGACATATCAAGTCATGACATTTAAAGCTCCATGATCAATTATTTAATTTCCATCTTACTTTATATTGGAATAGCAGGTAAGACACTGGTTTCTAAGACATATCCTGTAACAGGGAAAAAATACTCTCACAAAATCTTGCCAGCCTTGGTTACCAAAAAATTATAAGTAAGTAAAAAAAAAACCCCACAAAAACAAAAACAACAAAAAAAACAAAACAAAACAAAACAAAAAAAACAACAACAACAACAAAAAAATAAAAACCAGAACATGGATACAGATTTTACGGAATGTTATACACAAGTATGAACAAATTATTCTCAGAATAAATTACAGAAAATAAGAAAGTAATCTAAGTTGAATTATGCAAACAGGCACATGTCCTCTGACCATTCATAATTTAGAGGCAAAATGAAAAAACACTGAAAATATTCATCCTGATTTTTCACTAAGTGCCTGTGTTTTTAATCAGATTTTATATTTATCAGCCAGTTTTACATGGAATAGAATCTGGCTGAATATTTGACTAAACATTCTTTATTTGGAAGTGTGAAAATAAAAACATATTGAAGTTTTTATACGAGTAGTAGGATGAAGCTTATCACAGCTGATATAGTAAAGACTTGATGGATACAGATAAAAGTAAAATGTAGGAGGCTATAGACTATCTCACATGTGAATGAGTTAGGGGAAACACCAAAGAAACTCACTGAAGTGAGAAAAAGTCTGGCTCAGTGCACACCTGAATGCACTTTTCTCCAGGTTTTCATAATATTTTTTTCAATTTTTCACATTCTGAGCATATGTTTTATTTTAAATTCTTCTTCTCAGACCTAGTAAAATCTTGGCTTTAAGGGAGAAAATCTCACTGTCACCAAGGGGTAGGAGGCTAGCCGAACAGATAGAAGGGGAAGAAACGAAGGATTTAGATGTAATTCTGCCAACTCAGTCATTACGTGTATGTAGTGATGTGAAAGTTGCCTGTTCATTTACTGTGGCTCTGTAAGATGACTACAAAAGCTAATCCAGTTTGTACACTTCTTGATTCTCTCTAAAAAATAATTTCTAATATAACTTCTCAAACACCAGGTTACCTCCCATTGTTTTCTAACTATATAGAAGAGAGGCAAAAAGGGCAAGATTGCCAAATAATCAGTGATTTTAAGCAAGATTGGTAGAACACCTGAGATCTTGCGAGATAGTAGAGATATTGAAGTAGGAGTTGGCAATAGATTGTGAATCTTTGGACATAATGTTTTGGCATAAGTATATGACAAATAAATCAAGGAAGTAGAAAACTATAACAAGTACATTACAGCAATCTGGATTATTTCCAGGGATCTTATCTGAGTACTTTCTTTTGCCTACTTGTGTGACAACTGACATTTTGAAAATTAGGGAACTTGACTTAGAAGTCAGTTTGCTAACTACCAAATGCTGGGTTTTCTAATGAAAAACACGTGAGGGATTTCACAGGTGTTAATTTTTATAGATCCTTTAACACTGTATTAAGATACTAAGCAAATTCAGAGAAAATTGTGGAAAAACATGTTGTCCAATTTTTTTTTTTCATGCATGCTATATTAAGTAATTATTTTCTGCATATCTATTGTGATGAGCAGGATCAAGCTACCGGCCACTGTGACCTTCCAAGAAATATTAGACATATAATTTATGAGTACCAGAATTCAACCAAACCATGAGTAGGTAAAAAAGTCAACTCCACACAATATAAATATATCTGTGAGCTCAAGGAAGGTCATGCCCTGTTTGATTTACACATAAACCTGTGAGACAACACTGACAAAATCACTGATTGAAGATGTGAGGGAGGAGGCATTTGCTACTGGTTGCTGTTTTATCTTTTCATCCCACAAAACTGCTAGGTATTTTCATTCTCTGAATTGTTAAATTTTTGTTCTTAGAAAGGCTTCAAGAAAATCTTACAGCTGAAAAATAATGATCTGCAACAATAAAAATTACAAGGTTTGTGATTTTGACCTGATTACCATATCATGATTATCACAGTATCCTCATAGGAATCTCACTGACTTTGACACAAAAAATAGAACACAAGAGTTGAGCATAGAACATTTTTTTACAGGGTCAGTCAGACATAAATAAAGTAAAAGCATAATACAGTATGGCCTTACAACCAGACATATAATGAAGTATGAAAGATATCATGCAAATACAGAACCTTTACTAAAGGAAATAGTCACTGAGTATCTGTAAATCTTCCCAGAAAAATCATTGTATTACTCAGTGTAGCAAGAGTTTCTAAGAGCTTTCCCTTGAATAAATACTTGCAATATACCCTAGGATAACTTTTCTTGAGGAGGGATGTTCTACAAGATGACCCAATGAAGTCCCTTCCAACCTTACCCATTCTGTGATTTTTTGCCAAGAAGTCACAAGTTCCTGTTCCTTAAGTGTAACTAGAACGTGGCTATGAGTCTCTTCTATTTAGTAGTGCAAGACACAAGCAGTATTATGGAACACTGCCCTCATTCTCAGAATAAATGTGTATTATTAGTTCACTGCATTCAAACAAAACCGCAGCAGAAGTTCATCAAAGGAAGACATCCCTAGAGCATTCCATGTTTCTGTCAATATTCAGGTGTTATTTTGTAAGGTATATCTATTCATA